GGGACACCCATCAAAATAAAACAGGAATAAACACTAGAAACAAAACTATTTGCAGGAAACCAAGAGCATTACAGCAAGGCTACAGAAATAAAACACAAGAAAGTACGAGAGAACAGAACAAAGAAACAAAATGGGGAAAAAAATCCCAAATCTAAAGAACAACCAGGTCATGAAGAAAACTTTTAAGGCTTTAAAAGAGTGAGATGTAAACAAATCTTTCTACTGTAAAAGTTTACAAATATCCGAGTTACTAAGCTTTTGGCAAACACTGCACATGAGAACACTTATCTACAGTTCAATTTACACACAAGGCCAGGAAAATGGCATTACATGTTTTTTTACTCAGTTTAAAAGCAGATAGGTTCATCAAATTGATAAGAGCCGATCAAAAGGTCCCATACGGTCGAAAACTACATGTACAATTGTTCAACTGTAACCGACTAACAAGGAACAGAAGTAATAGGTTACAACCTCTAGCAGGAGTGAGGACACTGCTAAGCACGGTGGAGTTAAGAACATCCTTACATAGATGTTTGGTTTTCAGCACACCGCGCAGGTGTGTGACCTCATGAGTCAGCCATGTTGCCTTGCAATGATAAAACTTCCACATGCAGGTGCAGTTTTAGACATCCATCATGGTTGTGTAGTCTGTTTTTTTTTTGTTTTTTTATGTGTGAAGCTGAAACTAAGCACTGCTAAACCATCATTGTGTGACCACTGTAAACCGGGACAGACCAGGCAAGCTTTCGTATTGCCAGGTCAGCACAGTCTTTGGGGACCCACTGCTTTTGCTTTCACACTCAAGGTCCCTCCGTGGATTATTAATGTCGTTTAGATTGGGTCATTGGGGATCAGAGAAATGTATTTGGCTTTTGAGGTCTAGGTCAAATTCAAAAGGTTCTTCTAAAGTTTATCTTCAAGAAGACTGCAGCCAAAACAATGGTTTATTCTAGGTAAATAAGGAAAGACATCAGGTATAAAAAATATCCTATTTTCACTTTCACGAAACGTATGGGTTCCTCTTTGATTTTAAGGGTGGCCACACCTCTCAAAGAACAAATCAGAAGATGCCAAACACAACGGTGATATGATGGTGGTTGTAAAATGTCTGATTTTACCTTTAGGTTTTGACAGCACCTCAATGTTTGCAGGTCCGGAGTCCAGAAGGACTTTCATGTTGACATCACTAAGGCAAAGCACAGCACATTTCATTTATGATTCACAATTCATAACACTTGAGATGCGCCATTAAAAAAAAGTCAGATTAAATCAAGTGGCGGTTTTCTTACTATTTGTGGCCATTGATTGCCTCTGATAAGTATTTTCATAACCTTTCTGCAAGGGATCTGGAACACTTTGGTAATGCTTGCCTTTGAAAGAGCTTCTCCTCATCGGGACTGAGATTTTGTTCAAATCCTCCAATATTGTGGGTAACCCTGGCATCACAGTCTAATTCCCTTGGTTTGTGGCAGAACCAGAGATCACCTGTGTGGAGGTCGGTGTAGTTGCACAGCTGATGCTCGGTTGCGTCAAGGCATACGTTACAGATGGTGGTTTCACGGGCCAGGTCGGACTCAAAGATGCTAAAGAAATAAATTCTGTCAGGCTGCTCCTCAGTCAGTTTTTGCAGCACTGCCACTGCCTCACTGGAGTGAACCAGAGTCACCTGTTAGGGTAGACAACGAGAATTTGAACCGAAATGTGCATCAAACTGGAATCAGCACATGAGAGTTGAATGAAGACAAATCAAGTGTGCACCCTTTTGCAAGATCTTTTGGTAAAAAATGAGGAAATGTTACCTCAAAGCTCAAGTAAATGTCAATATTTAGCTGTACAAATGTATGCTTACTCATTATCGATGAAGAAGCTTGACAATTGAATAAATCTGAAAGCACAACCCACAACTACAATAAATCCCAAATGGGAAAATTTGAAGATTTCACTATATTCACGCAAATAAAAGACTGATACTAGTTCTAACCGTACTTGATGGGCAGATTCCCTGCCATTGTACCGCCATAGCCAAAGATTTAACAAGATTTGACCATTACCTCAACAAACGCGCTTCCTTCCCAGAGTAAAGAGAATACAGCAGAGTAGCTGCCATTTCCGAGATCCAGCACTCGTCCCGCCACACCTGCTCTACGGTAAGGGCTGTGCATCCGGGCAAGCAAAAAATCCCCCCCAGATTTCTTGGCGCGACCATTGAAGTCACGAACGTCAACCCTGACCTCCATCTCATCCCCGACATGCCACTGCCCCCCTCCCTTTCGTGGGAGGATGGTAACAGTGCTGTGAGCAGGATCGCTGGTGTCATTCAGGGAAAAAGAAGATGGTAATGGATGCGTTTCAGGCCAAGCAATTTCGTCCAGTAGGGTGTCTACCTCCTTAGCCTCCTCTGGGGATAGTGGCTGGAACATACAGAGGCTTTTACTCTTGGGACGGTTGGTAGAAACCATTGGCATGATGGCAGTTCTAACCTTAACCTTAAGACAGAAAAAAAAAGTTTGAGAAAAGACATGTGGACATACAGCACAATATGTTAAGCAGCAACAAAGAAAACAACAGATTGACATCACTTTAGTATATATTTCTAACCACTTTTTGTGCATTTTGTGTAATTATATTGCAAATCTGGTATCGATATTGATGTAATGCATCATTAAAATGTGCAATGTACGCTAGGGGGGAAAAAGTCTGGAAAAAAATGAATGGGATGAAGTTATTCAAGCTGTCCATAACACAACCAACTGTATCCTGATATGAGGCTTATCTGTAATAACATTACAATATGTTTTATTGTACTGTTTACACTTGTAAATCCATTTGGACTAACAAACCTTATCTTTAGAATGTGAGTGTGTGTGGTTATTTGTCTGATTTTACACAGTAACACACATTAACCTCACAACATGTAGATGTTCTGGTGAATTGTGTATTGTACTTTGTATGAGAAATATTGGCAATAAGGTCATTTTGGATTTTAACCAAAGCCCGATTCACTTACTGAAGAACTAAAGTGTGACGGAATACATTTTTTGAAAAGGTTTAATAGAATAACCCCTTCCTCTAAGTTTCCATCATCACACACCTATTTATGCCCGAAGTTACTGTTTCAAAAGTCCTCACCTCTGTGTCATACATTCTATACAGCAGGAAGACTGAGAAACACACAATCAAGAACAGGAAGATGGAGCCGGGCTTTAAGTAGGCTCGAGCCCTCATCATGACTGGTACTGCAGGGAAGGTAAACAGAGATCAGTCAGCCAAATCAGAAAATGAAATCAATCTCCGCTATCTAGGAAAAATGGAAAAGCAGATGAAAACTGTTTAATTAATTAAGAATGTCAAAATATTCTTTATAGTGATTCAATCTGTGAAAACGATTTGAAAACAGTTTTAATGGAATCAAAATATATATTTCTATCTGTTAGCTCCTCACCTTCATGATGCTGTCTTTAAGTGTGTGATAGTATTCTGGCCCCAAAATTGTGAGTTTAAAAAAAATTTCCTATTCTAAGTGTTTTGTTGGCACTGTATTTTCTTATATCTTGAGTCTTTCAGTTTCAGGATGATTTTTTTCAGTTTGTATTCCGCCTTTAGTAAATGTCCTATGGTAATCATGTCTGGAGACCTTTAATCAACTTCAGTGCGAGTTATTATCTAAATGTCAGATCCATGTGATTGTCTCTCTCCATTTTCTCTAGCTTTTTTCTAATATTCTCATGTAATCATGAATCAAAACCTTTTATTTGTACATTTTCTCTGTGGGTTCTAACTATCAGGTACAGTTATTATTCTGCTTAATTTTCAATGTGCACCATAAAACTTCAAAAGCTTATATTCATTTTAAATTAATGTTCTTTTCTTAATAAGTGTGTCTCAGCTGGAAAAGGCTCCCACCATAATGACTTTGTTTAGATCCCAGTGAGCTATCAACTCACTGAGAATATGATAAACATTATGTATTGATTTCATTTCATAAATGTTGTGATGAGTACCATTAAATTATGAATTCCCTTAACACTAGAAGTCCCAGAGATATATTCATGCAACATGAATGTAGATTATATTCTGCTTGATAGTTTTAAGCAAATTCTCAGGTGGTCTTGGCCTCATTATTCTGTCTGTTTTGTCTAAATGAGAGCAGATTACTCTGATGCATGTAGATGATATATAATATATATACTTACAATCTTATAACAACGAAAAAAAATTATTATGATCAGTGGTAACACAATAATCAATTTATAGAAACTTTATAGCATGACTTACCTCAGCAGCAGTCTACTTTCAGAGGTTCTGATAAATCTTGTAAAACATCTCAAACGGACGGATTTTTTTAGAGTTTTGTTCTTTTTTCTTGAATTCCCATCAGAGCACACACGCATAGCACCACATGGAAGCTTTAAAATGGTTTGTTCATTTACTCTTTCCCAAACAAATGCACCAAAATATATTACTAGTGGTGGTTACAGAAAAGGGTACAAAGACCATAGAATGCGAGGTCAATGCGACCAAACTTGATGTTGTAACCTTTGGACAAACAGATGAGGAACCCTGCCAAAGCACGTCCCATTTCATCTGTGTGCTGTGAGAATTAAAGGGAAGGAGACGTTACCTTTTGTTTTTATGTCAGTCGTCTTTTCCCCTTTGCAGGAGGACAGCCCCAAAGCATGATGTTTCCACACCCATGCTTCACGGTAGGTATGGTGTTCTCGGGATGCAGCTCAGCGTTTTTCTACCTCCAAACACGACGAATAGGGTTTTTAACAAAAGATTCTGTGTTGGTTTCATCTGACCATGGGATATTTTCCCAATCCTCTTCTGGATCGATGTACTGGAGATGTACTGACTTCATCAGGGGGGAAGATCATTTTGCCTCTCAGTGTACGTTTCGAATAACACAACGAAAGTGGTCACTGGCAACTCTGGAAGGTAACTCCTGCCGTTCATCCATCGGCTCCTTGGATGTGTATTACGCCATTGACCAACAATGCTAACTGACTTATTTAGAAATGCATTTAGAGGTAAGATATTTAGAAAAGCACTTTACTTCTTGTTTGACTATTTTTGTTTCTGTGTAATGGAAATGTATTCATTTGTATTCGAGTTTATTGTTAGTAATTGTGTTTTGATTAAGTACCTGTATGGTCAGTTGGTAATACAAAGATGAAAATAGTTAACTGAGTTTTTATTGACTCTTGGCCAAAGTATTGATGCAATCGGCTGATTTCCTTCGCAAGGTAATCTTTGAATGGTCTCCGTATCAACGGGACAAATTTGAACTCAGATTGGAGGATGATTCTATTAAAATGGAATGGATTAAATTGAGTTGAATCAGGGTGTATTTTTGAAGATTCTAAAAATTTTATGTATGACTTAAAATAGCAACGTGACATGAAATTGTATTGAATTTAATCAATTCAAAAGAAAAGTAATCAGGTTAAACTGTATTGAATAAAAGCAGATTTCACTGGAATGTAATACTCTTCCAATATTTCTGAAATGCATCTCTTTTTGCCAAGAAAAGGAAAATAATTCAACCAGATGTTTACTGATGATTGTTCCATCAGATACATTTTCAGAATCTATGGATGTGGTAAGATTCAAGGTCCTCCATTAGTGGGCCTAATGCTCCTAGGAAAAATCATGAAACTATGGCAATAATTTAATTTACTTTGTTTACATTAGCTGACACGCCAGAGGTGTTATAGCACTTAGTTATAATCAGTAAGGGTACGGATTATAGAAGCGTTTTTTCAGTTTCATAGGATTGGCTGTACTCTAAACAGAAAACCAGACAGAGAACACAACAGTGTTGACTATCTTTCAATTCGGTTGAGCTTAAAAGCGGAGTTGCTTGCCCTTAAAACGAAACTCCAACCTTTATCATATTGCCTGGAGTTTGTTCAGCCATTGAAGGTTGTGAGGATTTAAAACTCAAATGGCAATCGAAAGACAAAACCTCTCGTCTTCGTCCATTCGTGTTAAAATGTCTTATTCCTGGTCAATGATTGTCCTGTTCTCATCACTTTGTTGTTGTTATTGCCTCTGGCTAAACATGCGCTAATTTAATCACTAATCACTGGCTTTTTTTCTTCAGTTTGTTTAGTGTCCGTAAGTCTGTGGTTCTTACACAACCGCTCCGAGAGATGGCAGCAAAGGAATCTACTCATCTCCATCACATCACACCAAATAATGAATGCTTTCCTTAAAAGCTATTCATTAAACATCTACTAAACTGTTCTTTCTGAGCCCAATCTAATTACTAATCCTCTTTTCTTCATATCCACTGTACCCGAATCTTGTCACCTGCTGAACCAATCACCTACCCACCATCATAGTCCCCTACTGGAAAACAAAATCTGTCTCTAATCTCTATAAATAACTTTCAAACATCCTCAAACTTCAAAATGAGCATGTATTTGAATTCTACAACACCTTTTTTTCAATTATACAGTTGCAAGTAGTCTTGTATGTTCTCAAAAAGAATAGCCAGGTAGCAGATTTTTCCCTGAATAGAAATGTTGTTTAGGTTTTTCCTACTTGTTCTTTCTGGAAAAATACCTGAGTGGAGGAGTTAATTATGTTGTAACTATAACCATGGCATTGACTACTGTAAATTGCTGACTGTACATATTCCAAGCAAATATATGAATGCCCGGGTGAAAGGATTTTTTTCACTCTTTAAAAATATACATTAAGTAAATTCCTTATGAGTGCTGGAGCATACACTTTTGTACCTCTGAGGTTCCAACTCTCTTGTTCACAAAGATAAAAGAGTGAATAACCACTTTCAAAAGAAAAATGTGTCAGTTGCTGGGAAGTTTAAAAACTGTGTGCATTGAGATGATGTTGACATTGTGAAGATGCATTTTAGTCCCTGGAGTGATCGTTATCGTTGTCAGATAATATAATCTTTGAGAAAAAAGACATCGTGTTTGGGCTTAATTCCAGATTTTCTCTGTTTGCCTGTAGGTTATTCTTTCATCATAGCGATTTAAAAATAAACTTGTACCGCCACAAAATGTGATGTCACCTATTTGAACATCAAAGATCGATTTATATATCTATATTCACACAAAGTAAATCCATGCATTCAATTATTAGTCTTGCTAAAGACATTAATTTATCATTGCTTTGCACAGCTATGACAGAAGAGACTCTGAAAACATCACATTTGTTTGTTTTGTTGTAAATAATGGCTGATCGAAGTTATTCATGAGTACTGTTCATCCCTCTCTTACATGAACAAAATACTTAATCAATTCCTTGTTTGTAGATTGGATATGGAGGACATATGCAAAACTTGACGAGATTTACAGCTAAACAGAATAAAGAACAAACGTAGCTTTATTTTAAGTCTTCCGAACGTCCTGACTCCCGTGAACCTGACCAACCCACTGCTCATGAATGTGGAGCAGTGTGGAGGATCTCTGCAGTAGCTGAGTTATTATCCGACGGATCTGGGCTATTTCCCCTGAGCCAGAGGTACTTCCTCAAGGTGAAGTGTGAAGTGTTTTCTCCCTCAAGCGTGTTCAGCAGTGAGCTGAGGCCAGAGAACGACACACAGTTTGAGGGATTTTACCTTATTTTGCTTTAGTTTAGCATTCAGTGTATCTGTTAGCTTGAACTGTATGTATGTTTAAACATGGACATGCCATTTGTCCATTATTATGGGTAGATGAGGTTCAGGTTGACCCCACTCCTCTTTTTTCTCCTCTGTGACAATCCCACCCCATTCCATAGATGCACAACCAGCTGATGTAGTAATATAAAAAGATTTTGAATTCTCCATGTTGGACATTTAGGTCAGGGTTGGTGAGATTCATCCAAAATGTAGATCTGCGTTCATGTGACAATAACAACTGGCTTTTCCAGCTGGGCCAACTTCCCACTGTAATTCCACATTTTTAATGCTGGGATGTCTTAGTTCTGTCAGATAGTGGGAGAATAAATAATGATCACAAAGTCTAAAACAGAAATCTTGCATCTTCCTTAAATCAGTACATTTGAGGAAATCATACAAACACATTGTGTCCACTGGCAGCCATCTTTCAAATTTGTATCCAATTTGTCATCTTGGAATTTACTCATATATTAAACGTACAATACAGAGAAGCAATCCCACATCATAATACTCCCCTCACAGGGTTATGCGGCCGGCACTTGGTGTGATTTACCCAGAAACAGGGTCAATCTGGATACAACAGAAGTCTCCCTCAGTTTATTCGTCCAATTAACTTGAATCATTTCATCTTTGTGCTTCGGCAAACATTATGATGAGCTCTGGTGCCAATTCCAACGGGATTCATTCTTAAATGACAGTATATAATATCAGCTGGTATGAGCTCCAGCCACTATACTGTATAGTACTAAATAAAACAAGATAGTTATATAAAAGGGGTGGACAGGCATCCTTGAGATGGACTGGCAACCTGTCCAGGGTGTATTTCTCCTCTTGACCAGTGCCATGTAACCCTACAGGGGATAACCAGCCCATAAGCATCCATAGACAAAGTATGAATTAATGGATGGACGGGTGCTGAATAAAAATGATGTGTCATGACAATTCCTCCCATTGGTAATGTGTTGGGCAGTTCTTCATATAATTTTTGTATAGTTTCAGTAATGAGAAACGCGTTAACTTTAATTAATGTTTTCTGACATGTCTTTTGAAAAATATACGGAGCACTAACATAATTAACCATATAATGCCAAATGTGTTATATTTGATTCATACAGTTTCTGAAGTGTATTGGATCTGAGAATTTTTGCATCATTCAGTGGTAAAAGCTCTGCTCAAACCCCTGTTGTACACATTCAGATATACCTGATAACAGCCAGTAGAGGACTACACGGAAATATATTTTTGACTTATTGCACACTAATTTGATCAAAATAATTTCTGGGTTTTTTTTCTTCATATGTTGTTGAGGGGCCAAATAAAGACTTCAGACTAAAAAAAATGCAACATTTTTCCTATTTTTCCTGGATCAGGCTTTAAAGGTTGCATTCTGCTTTGAACCATATTAAAATCCAGTATATGATATTTAGATATGTGTGCAAGGTGGAAAAAGTCACTGATGTTTAAAATGGTTTTATTGTTATTTTAATATTGATTCAACAGACACTTGAACTGAGTCCCCTTTCTAACTTATATATGTGATTTAATTTATTCAACTTTTGAACAACCATTGACACACCCTAACTAAAACTAATTTTAAAAAAACTAAATAAAAAAATGTGATTGATGGGATCTATATTGTATAACCCAACCCATGCTGAAACATTCTGAAACAATACACTCATCAAGTGTAAAGATTGAAACTGACATACACATTATCATCATTACATATACTTAGGAAAATCTATTTTAATTTACTTTGCATGAATTTGAAATGAAATATTGAAAAATATAAAACATTGTAATCATATCTTACATTGCTTCTGGAACAAATTCCAGTTAAAGGGTTAGGGTCACATATATTCACATTTGAGAATCAAACT